TCTTTCTTTCTTTCTTTCTTTCTTTCTTTCTTTCTTTCTTTCTTTTCCTGAGAATTTGTGATCCAGCAAGATACAGTCAAGAAGATGCTGAATGTGTTTTTTTGTATATGCACAACATGTGTACATACCCAGACACACATGTATTTAACATCTCATGCCAGACCTGCTTCTATCAAGCCTTGTACTTAAAAGTGTTCCATTTTACTGGATTGGAAATATATTCCCAGCCATAAATTTAACTAGCTGGCCTATGAGGAAGACAATATGAAGCTCACCAGGGAATTTAGGTTTGCCTTCATTGGTTAGAAGCTCTGTTCTAATGGCCCAACCCGCTCCCTCCTTCTACCTGCACCAAAATTTCAATGACTGAGCTTCCCCAACTCCTACTATCTAAAACAGCTTGTCAAATTACCTCTCTAAATCAGAACCTCAAGTTGCTAAATTAAGTTAAGGATGTGTCACAGCTCTGTGATAAAGCATGTATCTCCAGCACTAATGTTACACATTTGCTCCCTGGATGCACTAATAAATAAGGTTCCTGACGTGAAATAAATATTTGCAATCTTTTGGGGCTTAAGAGCACATCATGACCGCCATAGAGATGGGTTGAATCAACAAAACACCGTCACAGGAGGAATGGCTAATCACACGATATACACCAGGGGTGTCAACTCATGGCCCATGGGCTGGATGTGTCATGTGCTGGCCAAGCCCACTCCCGTTTTAGCGAAGGGAGAAAAGTCACAATATGTCACGTGATGACAATGTGACACCGCAAGTTTGACACTCCTGATATACACTGTAAACATCACTAGTTTACAAGAGAATGTGCTGGGAAGCATTACTGCTGGTAGGAGTTAGGACTTAGGATGCTCCTTTGCAGCTTACATTTCTCTTTTTATTTGTTAGATTTACACCCATCTTTCCTTCAGGAGTTCAAGACAGCATACATAACACTTCCTCATCCATTTTTATTCCCACAACACACCATGAAGTGAGATGGATTGTGAGAAATTAACTACTCCATAATCAACTTGGGAGCTAGGGTATGAGGGTGGCCTAGTACCCAGGTCTTCCCATTCCTAATTCCACATCTTATTCAGAACTCACAGTGCTTCCATTTCTTTCAGAATAGCTGGCGGTACTATCAGATAAAGCTTAGGCCGCAATCCTCCTTATTTTCTGAGAATACTTTTTTTTGTAAATTTTATTTGAGTTTTCACAAAAAAATACAAATAAAACATCTTTTTTTAAAGTAGACTAATCCCGGGTTACATTTCCTCGTACAGACACAAATTCAATTTCATGCACATTTTTATGTTCTATTCCATATCTTATTACTGTTTTACATTTTCTACATAGTTTCTCCCCTCTTTTAATTTTCTCAATTTTATTTTAATTATCTTGTCTCAATTCAAATCATTATATTTATACTTTTTGTCTGTCCTGTTTCAATTTCATATCATCTTTTCTCATTAAACAAAGTTTCTCCTGTAGTTGCTGATTGGAGTATGACACCTTTATATCTTTTAATTTTATTCATTTAACTCTTATTTAAGCTTCAATATATACCTTAAAGTTATAACATTCAATATAATACATAACTCCAATTCGGATTCTGCTTGGTACATTCTTAAAATACACACTATATTCTTTTTAAAAAAAGATTATAAATATATGTAATTAAAACAACACATTCCATTCCAATTCAATTCTATCATTAATGTTAATATTCATTAAAATCTTAACTTCTTTAACATTACTTTTCACTTAAATATCACACTTCTATGGGAACAGTTATAAGCTTTCCATAATTAATTCCCCCCCCCTTCAGTTATATTTTATAAAACATTAACTAATTAAAATGTTCCCGTCCCTTCCTAATTCAATTCTCTCATTTATTTTATTTCATTTATTTTATTAACAAACATTTCACTAGATTACAGTAACTATTTTATCCCTCATTTCAATCATACATGGTTTCCAATTTTCTAAAATTGTATTGATTACTAATATAACAGTACAATCTTATGTACCTTTACAGAATCCCTTTTTCAGTTAAATTTTCACCCATTATCTCTAAATAGGGCCTGTTTCTCTATATCTTGTTTGTGTCCTTTATAACTTCTTTTCCTTTCCTTTTTCCCTCTCTTCTTCTCTCTCCCCTTTTTGCCCCCTTGTCTCTCTACCTCTATTTCTCTCTTCTGTATTCCCCTCTTCTGTTGCTTTCCAATATTATACTTATTTTTTGAACCATTTTTCTTTTCTTTGGTTGTTTAAGTCTTAAATTATCCATTCTCTTTCCCCCCTTTCCTTTTTCTTCCCCACATAGAATTACTTGTTCATTAAAGATGGCTTCTTCTTTGTCCCAGTCTTCTTATTTTGCAGGCGTTTCTTGTTTTTTCTCATAGTTCCAAATCTCCATTTCTAAGAATTGAAAAACGAAGCCAAAAGAACCCCTCCCTTCTTGTGTATCTTCTTTGTACTTTTTAAGTTCCATTTTCAATTCATCCAGAAGTAATGCCATTGTATAATTTTTTAAACAACCACCCGATTAATTTTAGTCATTCAAATGCAATAACCAAGAGTCCAAAGATCACCAAGTAATCCAAATACATGCAAGCTGATTCTTTTTGCTTTTTTTTCACTTTCTCTTCCTGGGGTTCTACTATTTAGTTGCCGAGTTTCAGTTAAAATGTACCTTTTAGAAGTCTTGTTGAAGTTTTACTGTAGATTCCTTTTAATTCCAGGCAGTCTCCTTCCTTTTTTCCAGATCCTGCCCTTTTATTCTTTTTCTCTCCTTTCCTGCTTATAAAATTTTTTTAGTGTCTAGAAATCTTTATTATCCCTTTGACATTTTGTTTTATTTTCAGCTTAATTGCCTGTTGATGTCAAAGCGGATTTTTTCGCCGATTTCTTATTTAAGTCTCTTAGTTGTCAGTATAGGGAAAGGGAGAGAAGAAAAAAAAACCCAAACTTTCCATTTTCACTTTCCTTCACTGCTTCAGAATCTTCTTTGGGAACAATGTTATTTTCTTTTAGTTTAAATTCCAGGGTACCTTAGTTGTTGCTTTTGAAATTTAACCCGGTCAGCCAAAACTTTCACTTCTTATCTTCCTCCTGCACATTCTTTTCTGGTTGAGTTCTTCTTTGAGTGGCCATTTCTGACCACAGCTGCAACCGCCTTTGGGAAAGGGAGTAATGGCCAGCTGAGGAGGAGAGATGCGGCTCTCCTCAACCCTGCTGGCAGTCTCCCCTCTCTTCACCACCTCTACGGGGTGGCTTAGCCCCGATACCAGCTGGCTCGGGGCGCTCCAGCGGCGAGCCCAGACTGAAGCTGCGCATGATTGTGGATTTCTGTCTGTCGCCGAAGAAGCTCAAACTGGAAGCCCTTATTTTCTAAGAATGCTTATGTAGAAATAATAATGGTGCCTACTCTGATTTGCAGTGTGTCTGATTTTCATTTGAAAATAATTTATAATAATTTAAAAAAATAAAATCCAATGGGACAAAAAATCCTGAAGGGTACAGAAAAAATGCTCATCAGACCAGTCACTGCTGGCATACTGACATAGCAATAGGTGAGCTGTACCATCAAAATAAAGCATTTCAGGTAACTTCCCTTAATGTGGATGTCTCCATAGCTAACTTTTTTATCTTCAATTTCTAAAGCTTCTGCAGTGACATTGTTCCAATTTTTTAAAAACCACTGCAGGTTTTATCTCCACTCTAGAAGAAGCCACTTAGCTATTATTTGAGCAACCTCAAACTCGGTCACAGTAGAATGGCTTGCAGCTATGATATCCATGAAGGAAAGTCTCAAAGTGCTTTTATGGCTAACTGTAACCTCAATCATCAAAATGTACTCAAGGAATCAGCAAACTGAATGAAATTAACCCACCCCTGCTGTTGTGCTATACTGTAGTACCAGACATTTAGCTTCTGCAAGTGGTTTGGGGAGACCCTTGAGCATAATTACATTGACACTGTTCCATGACATGCACATTTTGCACAGATTAATTAAAATATAAAAAAACAAAATGAAGGCTAGATTTGCACAAACTGATAAGACCAATGCCTGCTAATTGATTCATGTAGGAACATTCCTTCCCACTTGGTTTCACCTACCAGGACACTCACTCATCTGGAAAAAATTTAGCATTTGTTTCAAGTACTGAACTGCAGCTCTTTTTATCCTTTGATCAGTTAATATTCAGGAAGAGCCAACCTGGTTTACGAGCTCGGCAATAAATAATTGCTAATGTATTGACTTCTTCTATGAATGAAAAAAGCCAAACTGACCAAATGGGCCACCTAAACTAGCACAGAAAGTCTTACTTTACATTTTATTAAAACGTCACCTGTAAAGTCATGGAATTAATTATTAACCAATCCATCATCCTTCACTTAGAAACAAACAACCTACTCTCTAATAAACAATTTGGTTTTAGGAAAACATTATCCTGTAATCTGCAACTCTTACACTGCAAAAACATATGGACTACACAACTCGATCAGGGAAAAGCAACAGACGCAATCTACATAGACTTCTGTAAAGCCTTTGATTCAGTCGTACACAACAAACTACTACTAAAACTAAAATCTTACGGTATCTCTGGACACCTGCATAACTGGATAGAAGCATTCCTGTCAAACAGACAACAAATGGTCAAAATTGGGAGCGTCCTATCAAATTCTGTACCTGTCAACAATGGTGTCCCCCCAAGGCAGTGTTCTAGGATCTACTCTTTTCATACTCTACATAAATGACCTCTGTGATCATATTAAGAGCAACAGTGTTCTCTTCGCTGATGATGTAAAGCTATTCAACACCACAGATAATACTGCTACCCTTCAAAAAGACCTTGACTATGTATCAGAATGGTCAATTAAATGGCAACTTCAAATCTCAACAAATAAATGCTCTGTCCTACATATTGGCAAAAAAAATCAGAAAATAAAATACAAGCTGAATAGTCAAGACCTTGTTGATGATCCAAACTCTGTCAAGGATCTTGGAGTACTCATCTCAAATGACCTAAGTGCTAGAGCCCACTGTAACTATATAGCCAAAAAGGCGTTAAGAGTTGTTAACCTAATCTTACATAGCTTCTTCTCTGGTAATATTGCACTACTAACTAGAGCATACAAAATATTTACTAGACCAATACTCAAATACAGCTCATTGGTCTGGAATCCACATTACGTATCTGATATTAACACAGTAGAGAAAGTCCAAAAATATTTCACAAGAAGAGTTCTCCACTCCTCTACTCGTTGTAGAATACCTTATGCCACCAGACTCAAAATTCTAGACCTAGAAAACTTAGAACTACGCCGCCTTCGGTCCGATCTAAGTATAGTATATAAAATCATACACTGCAATGTCCTACCTTTCAATGAATACTTCAGCTTCAATTATAACAACACAAGAGCAAACAATAGATACAAACTCAAGGTTAATTGCACCAAACTTGATTGCAGGAAATACGACTTCAGCAACAGAGTGGTCAATGTCTGGAATACTCTACCTGACTGTGGTTTCTTCCCCAAACCCCCAAAACTTTAACCTTAGACTATCTACTATTGACCTCACCCCTTTCCTAAGAGGTCTGTAGGGGGCATGCATAAGCGCACCAACGTGCCTACCGTCCCTGTCCTATTGTTTCTTTTATATATTTTTTTATTTTTCTTATATGTATCCATGTATTCATAACTATGTTTTTACTTATACGTATTATCTTGTAAGCAATTGACAAAATAAATAAATAAATAAATAAAATAGTTTTAAACATAGTTGACCACATAAAAAGTTATATTAAAAGGAGACAATTAAAAGAAAATCTCAGATTCAAATTCTCCAGGTTTCTTTCAGTCTCATAAAAAGATTTAAAAGTCTATGAAACAAAGTCTTTCAACATGTATATCTGCAAAAGGAAATGGAAAATCTAAGTCTGTTTTGTTAGTTACAACCATTGCTGGTGTAGAGCTCAGGTAGATATAATAACTGTACTTTCCTCCATACAATAAAAGACTTTAGCAGGCTGTAATGAAAGAGTTATCAAAATCTGAAAATTAGATGCAGATTAGAAAAAGAATACTAATTTAGTTTGTTGCACTGAAACCCAAAATGTTTCTGCTTAATTGTTCAAGCAAAGCTCTTATTTGCTAAATGGGGATCAATAAAG